TGGATAGAGATCAGAGTGCCTCTCTTTGTCCTGAATGGCCTGCCCAAAAGAACAGGAAAAGAAGAAATTAGTGTATGCCGGCTGACCTGCAACACGTACATCTGAACCAAGCCATTTATATAACAACCGCATTTCTGGGAGCTTAAAAATAACTTAATTTGTGAGTAATAATAATTTTTATTATTATTCGGCTTTTTTCAATAGTAATTATTATGATTACCATGCTTTGCAGAGCAACTGTACATCATGTTAGATCTTTACAACAGCTAACAGGGCAGATGTTACTATCTCCATTTGACGGATGAGGAAATTAAACCTTAGACTGATCAGATTTCAAAGGTGGAAGAGACCTTGTATATCCTTTCATATCCAGCTTTCTCATTTTACAAAAAAAGGGGAACTTGACTGACCTGTATTCCCACGGGGAGTGAATAGTGGCTGTAAGACCAGGCCTGGGTCTTCCGATTGGTAGATGACCAATTTTTTCACTCCATCACATTGCCTTCCACATTCAGCGTGTGAAAGGAAACCTGGAAGACTCTGCATTTGTTTTTTTAGGAGCAATATTGTTGAAACCAGTCCCACATGCTGTTTTAGGAACATACACATGTACAGAAAAAGTCTCTTACTTTTATACTTTTTTCTTTGTATAGATAGATACAGACAGATTGACAGACAGATAGGTATATAGTTAACTAGACACACACACACCAGACGTGGTTGTCACTGGGGAGATGGAGGTGGGATTGGACTGAGCAGTGGCTCAAAGGGGACTTCGGTTTTATTGGTATAATTTTATTATTTTGATAAAAAATATCTGAGGAAAAAATGATCCTAACAGTAATTTGGGGCAATGGGCAGTGATTTCATATATATTTGCTACATTCTTCATAATTTTGTAGTTTTAAAATTTAAAACAAAACCAACATGAATATTAAAAATAATTACCACCTACACTGCTATCATCTTATAAAATAAAGGGTATTTTAAAGAAAGAAAAATGGTATAGAAGGAAAGGAAAAACAACTAATATGTGGTTCTTGACATTAATTCTTTCTTCGCTTCAAGTCTTTCCTGTTTTGACACTGGCAGAATGTATATTATTTTCCCTGCATTTGCTGCATTATCCATTCTCTTTTGTACATGTTGAGCCCTTCTAAAACCTCCAGCAGGAAAGGCAGGCCCTGGCGTGGCAGTGATAAAAGTTCTAGCCACCCTTCCATGACTGCACTCCCCTGTGGAATAAGGTTCCGAGCATCTTATTTGGCCTGATGAGAGTGGTACAGGGTGTAATGGATAAAAGGCTGGTGATTTGATACCAAATGCGTTATTTAAAATCACGTCCTTGATGTGTTAACTGAACTTACTGTGGTAATCATTTTGCAGTGTATCCACATGTCAAATCATTACGTTGTACACCTTATTAACATTTATACAATGTTAATATCTCAGTCAAGTTGGAAAGAAATTTTAAACCATTATGATAAATTGGGAGAAAAAATACAGAACAAAGAATAAAAACTGTATATTTCAGTACTTTTAAGCAAACAAAAATCAAAATAACCCAAAAAGTTACATCTAAAGGCCAGGAATGTGGTTTTAGAAGCTCTCTTTAATGAACCTGTTCCAGAGGATAAGATATTGGCCTTAGACTAAAAAATACCCAGGTTCACATCCCAGCTAAGTCCCTTGTTTGCTGAGTGCCCTCAGGTGGTTCATCTAAACTTTCTTGGTCTCAGTCTTCTTAATACAAACTGGAAGTGGTCTCATGTGACTCATCTACCCACATGATCGTCCTGGAGATCAGATAGCTAATGGGGTAAAAACACTATTAACATGCCAACTGAAAAAACATGAAACGAAAGAGAGATGATAGGATTATCATTGCTGTTATGAATCACGCCAAGAGGTGCTTTGGTGCTGTGAATCACCACATGGTACTATCATGGATGACCTAAACGTGGGATAACACCAGCATGGACCCAGTCATCGCAAAAGTAATCCCAGAGGCCTAGCTCGTGGTAATCCGTAATCCTATGGTTACCAAGAAGACAGCACTATCAAGAAAAGTGGTGATCTCACTCTGCTCCCCGAAAAGGAGAAGACTCACGGGCGAACGTCGGTAGGGACATGTCGGCCGCGTCGGCCCTGGGGACTGAGGAGACCTGGGCTCCGGGCCCTGCTCTGCCCTCTCTAGCTGTGTGAGTTGGGTTGATTCATGCATCATGTCAGCTTCCTTGGGCTTCGCTTTTTTTCTCTGTGGATGGAGTGGGTTAAACTACATGGTCTCCGAGGCCTCTTCTTCCTCTTAACATTTGTGATAATTAGCCAGAGTTTGAACTTTAGCCGCAGTATGACTGTAGTATCATCGACGTCATCTTGTCACCTGGCATTGAGGGGCTGTTCCCTGTGGTTCACATCCTGACCTGGCTTCTGAGGGCGTTACAGTAGAGTTGAGAATTTGTGATTTGGAGTTCAGCTCCCAGGAGATGACGGAAGGGCAGGACCCAGCAAAATCCTCGCCCCGAGCGTTGCTGTTTATTTGGTTTGGTCACACTGTAGAGGTGACCACACTGGCCTGGAAAGGGACTTGAGTTGAACTGGAAGTGAATTTCCGTTCCTGACTGGTTATCTCGGAAGGTGTTGTGCCTGTGCGACCAGGCGGCTCTGTCTAGGCCCTGGTGCTCTCTGGGCTGCGGTTCTTGGCTTCTGTTTCTGGCCGGCTGAGCATCCTCAGGACAAAGCTTGATGCGAGTCCACACACATTCACCACTGGACATCAGCTGCGTCCTCATTGTTATTCTACAGCCCTGTAAGTGTGTCGTTGACCACTTATCCGGTTCACCAAGCCACTGTCATAACTCTCTCCTTTTTTTTTTCCTGCTCTGTCCCCTCTCACCAGATGTCCACTCTTATTTTCTACTTCTCTTCTCTCCGTATTTATACCTCTGTGTTTTCCGTCATTCATCTCTGTCCGTCTCTAAAGAAGATTTGTCTCTCCGCCTTGGCAGAGCTCACTTGCCATCTGCCCTGATGATGACAATGAGGATGACGACGATAGTGGTAGGAATGGAAGTGAGCATGGTGAGACGCGTCGCAGTGATCGGTGAATGCTCACTGTGTGCTGGGAGCCGGGCAGAACGGTTTCTGTCCTCCCTGTCATTTAATTCCCAGAACAAGCCTCTGCTGTAACCACGAGGACCCCGAGGCTTAAAGAGGATGAGTATTTCCCCAGTCCCCAGCTTTCGAGTGGCACGCTGGAATTTATACCCAGGTTAATGCTAACTCTGAAACCTGAGCTCTCAGCCTCCGGGCAGTGCTCCTTCCCATCCCCAACCCCCATCTGCGATGCAGGTTGTGTGGCTGCTGCTTCATACATATGGCTGAACTGATTTTAACTCATTCTATTCTGAATCCCGGTGGCAGTGAGATCATCTCCAAGTATGTGAGCGACAAATATCATTCCCTCTGCAGATGTCAGTTTCCTGAAAGGGAAGGGTATGTTGCGATCACACAGAAGATGTCCTCTTTCTAATAAACTTCCATCCGCACAGCACTTCACAGTTTGCAGAGCTTTCTAACTCTCCGCTTACCTGATCCCACATCAACCTTCATCATGTAAATGAGAAAAGAGCGTGACTTTTCTTTTTATAAATGAAGACGCTGAGGCTCAGAGAGGTAAAGTCTGTTGCCCACTGTGACACAGCTGAAAGGCCGCAAGTTAGGACTAGAACCCAGGATGCCTGATTCCTTCCCCCAGTTCATACGAGGTAACTGTCAGCCCAATACGCACTCACTATCTACTCTTCAGTCCTCCAAGTGAAAGAAAACTCAGAACCCATGTATCTTTAATAAAGATCCTTTTCTCCTAGGGGGTTCACTAATGCCTCCCCAGAAAGCCAGTTGTTAGTACAGGAAAAGGGCCTGGTAGTTGTTGAAAAATGAAAGGTGTCTCAGTGGTTTAGAAACTGCCCCCTGGTGAGGGCCGGGGCATTGTAGTCACCCTACAGCTCACCCTACAGCTGCCTTCCCGCAGCAGCTGAGGCATTTTTGCATCCGTAGATGGATTAATAAGCCCAGAACATTTGTAAGTCTTTGTTCAAAGTTCAGGGACAGCCTTTGAATTGGCCTTTTTTTTTTTTTTCATTTGTTTCATTTCTCTCAAACGTCTGAGGCTCGAACCACTTCCTCCTGTGCTTTGCTGTTCGCGCTTACCTCTGTCGGAATACTCATTGCTCTCTGGGTTGGACTGTCTCCTCTCGGGAGGGTATCTCTTTTTCCATCTCTGTGTCCCCCCCACCTGGCACGTAATAGATGCTCAGTGCACGTGGGCTGAATGGACAGACTCACGGATGCCCCCTTGGTCCCTGTGGCGGAGTCTCTGCAGAGCAGAGGCCCCAGGGCCTCTGCCTGTGTCTTCGGTGCTCTCCCTCCCTTTCAAAACAGGATGGATTATGTCACGAAAATCTTGCTGAATTTCTAGCACCCTGACTCAAACCCAGGAAGAGCACCGCCTCACTCCTTGTGCCCAAAAACGAATCCATCATTGCATCCTGCTTGGGACTCAGAATAAAATGTGGAAGAGCTTTGGGACAAACAATGAGCACTGTCAAGTGGGACAGCTGTTGCTCTCTCCCTCCTGGTGGATACGATGTGTTGCACATCCTTTGGGCGTTATGGAATTAAACCATTAGAAACACTTTTCATCTGAGTCTCCTGTATCTCCCGGCGTTATAAATGCAACTAGTTCTCTTTTATTCATATTTTATTTTTAAAGCTCTTGAGAGAAGTGCTGCTTTAATTAGAGGAAAAAAAAAAAACTTTCTAAGCAAGCAGGGAACCCCAATTTTTTAATGTAATAATTTTCCCTGTGAATTCTTTGTAACCATTAATGGCTCAGAAAGGAAACGTCCGCCCTGGGGGCAGAGAGCCTTGTGGAAGCCTGGACCAGTCAGAGTGGCTGTGCGGTGATTCTCCTGTGAGTTGTGTGATTGTGTTGTAGCTTTTCTAGCTCTGTGCCAGATGCCCAGCTTATGTAACTCACTGTGCTGCTCTCCATCCTCCGGGGTTTGACTGTATGGCTGCAAACAGTGTCACCGCACAAGGTTGAGGAGAAGAGGGGACATAGCAGGTGCTGTCACCTCTGCAACTTACAGAGGTACAGAGCGGTTGAATCTCTGCATCTCCCAAGTGCTCAGTGAGTGCTTGGCAAGTCAGAGGTAGTCAGTATCTCTCTGAACAGAGGGGAGGACCACAGGTAGAGATAAGTTGGCGATGAAAAAGTTCTGGGACTTACTTAGGGCTTTTGGAGACAAGGCTATTTTGTCAGTTGCTAGAAGCTGTTTTGAATGATCTGAGTTCTCACTAAGGTTTTACTGTTACCCAGCTATGCAGCTTTGGGTGAGTCACTTTCTCTCTTTTTTTAATGAGGGGAGTGGATGAGGTGATCCCTCAGGATGTGCAATTCTAAGCTTTCCCAGGGTGCCGTTGCTCTGGCTGGGTAAAGAAAGCTGACTTGGAAAAAGAAGAGACCTCTGGATTTTTCTGGATCCTGGCTAAGTTCCCAGAGGGTGCTCAGATGCCTGGTCAGATAGTCTTTGCTCTCCAGGACCTCTGGGGACATGAGTTCATACCAACAAGATCCAGCCAGTGTCCCCACACCCGACACTGCCTCTCTGAGTGGAAGCCTCTTTTACATCTAATTTTCTTGGTGGAGTGTATTAGTTTCCTATTTGCTTCTGTAACATATCACCACAAATGTAGTGGCTTACAACAATACACATTTTTTATCTTATAGTTCTGGAGGTCCGAAGTACAAAATCCATCTCCCTGGACCAAAGTCAAGGTGTCCCCAAGGCTGGTTCCTTCCTTCCTCCATCTTCAAGACCAGCAGCATAGCATCTTCTCTCCTCTCTAACCTCTGCTTCCATCCTTCCTTCTTTCTGGCTCTGGTCCTCCTGCTTCCATTTGATGAGGACTCTTGTCATTACATTGGGCCTACCCAGATAATCTAGGATAGTACGTCCATCTGATGACCCTTAACTTAGTCACACCTGCAAAATCCCCTTTACCATGTACAATAACAGTCACAGGTTCTGGGGATTAGGATGTGGATCTCTTCAGGGGTCATTATTCAACCCACCACAGGGATTAATCATCAATCTCAAAACGGAGACGGGAGAAGAGTGTGTTGGAACTCCTGCTTTGGAATGGGGAGTTGTAGACATTTCCCCGGGCAGGCGATTCTGCAGCTGACTGCAGTTTAAGCTGTATCCAACTGCAAAATCTATTTGCTTTCTAGGCATATTTAATTCTCCTTTTTGGATTGTTTGAGGGCCTTTATTTGTAGAAATGTGTGCTCTCAAAAGGTGACCACATTTCCCTAAAGCCACCTGGTTCTGATGAGCTACAGCCATTATTTTTCTTCTCCATCCTGGTCATCACGGCCGTTACTGAGTGCCCACCGAGTGCAAGGCAGTACGCCAGGGAAATACGACAATCTCCAAGACATGCTCCTTTCGATCGTGGAGCTGATGTCTGTCTAGTGGAGGGAGAAAGGAACATAAGCAATTCTTTTTAACACAAGGCAGGATGTGCTAAGTGAGGTAATGGTTATAAACCGAGGTAGTGGGAAGACATCAGTTCTATTCCCTAGGGGTGTCAGAGCATATGCCCCAATTTTTTGGCTCAAAAATATGATTGCTATATGCACCTGAATTTTAAATTATTAACACAAAATTCTTGTGGGCTAAGAATTTTAGAGCTTTTGAAAGATAGGATGATGGGGCTTTTCTTCTTTATCTAAAGGTCTTTGATTCAAAAGAGGTGTCTAGCTCTGGCGATTCATGTGAAATCACTTCTACTCAAGGTTCATTAAAATTGGGGACAATAAGAATTTGCTAGGCAAAGCAGAAATTGGGAAGAAAATAGCCTTCTTTTTTCATGCTGGATCTGAACGGATAATCCGTAACCTGTGCTGTACCCAAACAGCACGTGTTTCCCATGGCCAACCTACAAATACCCAGCGGGGCTGGCTTTTCTAGTTAGAAAGACAGCTCCTCCTCACGTGTCCTTTCAGAAGTGAAGGGGACTCTCCAGCAAGAGCTCCCTCCAGCCCGGAACACAGTTTCAGAACGTACAGTTGACTTCTCCTGGAAAAACAAAACCAACCTCTTCTTACTCTGATCATAGAAACCAAGTTGGCACCTCATTATCGCCTCGTTAGCAAGGACAGGCTGCGTAGAGGACAAACCTGGTCGGAAGGGTTGGCCCTGAGTGGGCAGGGTTTTTGAGTTAAGCTTAATTGCTTTTCTAAAGCTCAGCTACTTACTAGTGCATGAGTAGAGCTACATCATCGGACGAGACCATCGTCCTCTTCCTACGTAGACCATTAGCACCTCTCCAACTCAGCTGCTGCTGCCATGATTTGTGCCTGGGCCCCACTGGGCCACCAAGGCTTCGCTGCAACTGGCACAACTACCCAGAGGAGTAAAGGTCTGTAACCACCTTTATTAGCCTTAATTCTCCTCAGCACCCTCAATATCTTACAATGCAGCTACCTCATTCTACCCTTGGAGCACAGCAGGGCTGGGGCTGGGTGAAGGGTAGTGTCTCTTTAAGGACGTACAGCAAATTCTTGATTTCTCACAGAATGGGAAATCGTAACCCAGAGTCATTTTTATCTGTCTCTGAACTGTATTTTGTAGCTGTATTTGCACATGAGTGCGCCTGATGTTCTGAGAACTCACTTCAAACAAAACAGTGAGGCAGCCCATGAGACGCACTCAGGGAGGGCTCAGACGCTGCACGCTTCACCACCGCTGCCCTTTCTCTTCTTTTCAAAGCCTGGCTGGCATTTGAATCCCACGTCTGCACTCACCAACCAACCGTGAGTGTTTGTAAGTAGGTCACCTAACCTCTCTGGGCTTTAGGTTCTTGCCTTGCAAACTTGGGGTGAGAATTTCCTGCCCCATAGGACTAATGGGGCGATCGACTGAGATGATGTAGGCTACGCACTCAATACTTAGTGTCACGGTCAGTGTGAGACTCTCCCATTCGCCTCCCTCCCCGTGACGCGTCACCTCCTCCCTGCCTCCTCCTTTTCTCAGACCAACGCAAAGCACCAGCACAGGCAGAAGCTCGCTTTCCTCAAGTGTCCCAAAAGTGGGAGAGATGCGACATGCCACATACTTTCATGTCTCCCCCTTTTTTTTTCCCGAACCATGTCTGCCCCCAGCCTCTCTCCCTGTTCCATCATCATCAGACTTACCGTACAGAGCCGATGACAGTGAAGACCTTGTCTAAAGGGTCCCAGCTTTGCAATGTCTAACCTACACTTCCCTTGGCATGCTGAACGTATAGCCTTGGTTGCCCATGGTAATCTCAGTTTCAAATGCACAGTGCCATTCTCCCCATTCAGATGTCCTGGGAATGCCGGTTCATCAACATCCCCAACACATTCCCTGATTACACCTACTCCCCAGAAGAGGTGTTTAAGACCCAGGAAATATGGTCTTACAAAGGAGCCCTAACTGTGGTAACCACATATCTTAGACTTTCTGAGAAAGTCTGTCCCCTTTCCAGATTATGCATCCTGATTTTTGGTCCAGAAAGCACCATAACCAACTAACAGGGGTCACAAGCAAGGCACATGTCCGACAGAACGCCCCTGTAGTAAGGGTCTGTGAGTACCTACCACCACCTAAGACCTCAAATGCAGATGCTCTTGTAATCTTCTTCATACTAGTTGTGTTTTGAGAGTGGACTGAGGAAAGCATGATTCTTGCTGCTTCGGGGTGTGAAATGAGTCCGGACAGGGACGAAAATGTGTTCGGCACAAATATTCACACTATTTGTTCTGTATGCAATTTTGAAGCCCTCTTTTCCTCCTCAACATTAGAGGATATGGATTTTCTCGTGTCACTAAGTTTTTTGTTGTTGTTGTTAATATCGACCATGCCAAACTCAGGGGAGTGTCGACCGTTGGCAGGGATGGGGGTTAGGGGTAGGTGGGGGAGCAGATACCCGAGGAACATTTAGTGCGTTGGGATGTTTCCTGTCTTAAGCCTGGTGCCAGTTACACTTTTTTGAATGTCTCAAATATTACACAGTGAAGTAGAAATTTAAACACCAGTAGTAAATTTCTACTTAACATTTCATTCTGAACATATATCATAATTTACTCCCCTCCCCGCTGTGATGGGATATTTGTAGTTTTCAACTATGGACTCTTAAATAATATAGTATTATTATTAACAATCTTTGGTATCAAGTTTTGTCTGAATTTTAGTTAATTTTCTTAAAATAGATGTATAGAACTGAATTACTAGGTCAAGGCAAATGGCTTTCATGAGTGCGTATTTTGCCTAACAACCTTTTAACACAGTCATGTGAGTTTAGATGGTCATCAACGTTGTGTCCATTCCACTTTATCTCACACCAGCACTAAGCACTATTATTTTTAAAAAATGCCACTTTGCTAGGCAAATATTTGTTTCTCGTGGTTTTAGCTTGTATCTCTTTGGTTGCCAGTGAGATTGAACATTCTGCCATCTAATAATTTTTCTGTTGGGTTTTTTAAATTGACGTGCATGTGTGAGCACAGGATTTTGCAGACATACGTGGGGCCTATGTCAGAGGGTCTTGTTTACATGGTAGGGGGGACCACAGTTAAGCACCGAAAGAACATCTGCCCACCTCTGTGAAAAGCAGCTGTGCATCTCGACCTCTGTCTTCCTGCAGTGCCGCCAAGCTCCTGGACAAGAACCCATTCTCCGTCAGTAACCCGAACCCTCTGCTTCCTTCGCCCGCCAGTCTCCAACTGGCTCAACTGCAAGCCCAGCTCACCCTCCACCGGCTGAAGTTGGCACAGACAGCTGTCACCAACAACACCGCGGCCGCCACGGTCCTGAACCAAGTCCTCTCCAAAGTGGCCATGTCCCAGCCACTGTTCAACCAACTGAGGCATCCGTCCGTGATCAGTGCCGCTCACAGCCATACCGGAGTGCCCCAGCACGCTGCAAGTGTGCCCAGTGCCCGGTTTCCCTCCAATACAATTGCCTTCTCTCCCCCCGGCCAGACGCGAGGCCCAGGACCCTCTGTGAGCCTTCCCAGCCAGCCCCCCAATGCCATGGTGATGCATCCTTTCAGCGGGGTCATGCCTCAGACCCCTGCCCAGCCGGCCGTCCTCTTGGGCATTGGCAAGACCGGGCCAGCGTCCGCTGCGGCGGGATTCTACGAGTACGGCAAAGCCACCTCCGGCCAGGCCTATGGCTCTGAGACAGACGGTCAGCCCATCTTCCTTCCAGCCTCGGCCTCTACCTCGGGCAGCGTGACCTACGAAGGGCACTACGGCCACTCAGGGCAAGATGGCCAAGCCGCCTTTCCCAAGGACTTCTACGGACCCAGCTCCCAAGGGTCGAACGTGGCAGGCGGGTTTGTGGCCGAGCAGGTGGGGGGCCTGAAAGGCGAGGGGGGTCCACTGCTTCAGGGTCCGAACAGCCAGTGGGAGAGCCCCCACGGGTTCTCTGGCCAGAGCAAGACCGATCTCACAGCCGGCTCCAACCTGTGGCCTCCCCACACCAGCCAGTCCTACGAGCTGTATGATCCCGAGGAGCCGACCCCAGACAGGACCCCTCCTTCCTTCGGGGGTCGGCTGAACAACAGCAAGCAGGGTTTCAGCGGGGCAAGGCGGCGGGCCAAGGAGGAGCCCGCGATGCTGCCCGTGCGGCCCCTGCAGGCTCAAGAGCTGAATGACCTTCACGGGGTGGCCCCCCTCCACCTGCCACACATCTGTAGCATCTGTGACAAGAAGGTGTTTGATTTGAAGGTGAGTCACTTAAGACGGGCTGGGAGCCACAGCCGGAGCCCGCGTGGGCTTACCACCACCACCCAACAAAATGTTGTTGCCATCAGTACTCTTGATTAAAATAGGTATTAGGACTAATAGGAATTTCAGAAATGTACCAGGGCCAGTCCTTTGCTTTAAAGCAAGTAAGAGATTCTTACCCATGTCTACAGCTGAGAAAGCTGCTCTGAGTGGAGGGATCAAGTGGCCCCGCCCGGGTTGCCGAGAAGGGACTTGGGAACTAGGGTCTCCCACCTCCTTGATGGAGGTTTTTCCCTCTGAGCTATGCCTCAGCATCACTGCTCCTGATGTTGTACTGAGTACGAAAGTGGGAAAAAGGTGAGCAGAATTTTGGGTCAGGGGCAAGAGAGAAATTCTCACGTGAGACCTAGACAGATTATCATAGAGGACCTCAGCTTCCCCAACTGCATAATGGAGGTAAGAGCCTCATGACCCTTTCCCGTGGTTGTAAATTGCTTCGGGCTCCAGCAAACAAAGGTCTATTATAGTATAAATTTCCCCTCAGAATGTATTGATGAGGCAATGAAATATTTGAAAGCAATGATAATTATAATAGCTAACATATATTAAAGCTTTTCTGTGTATCAGCAGTAACTTTTCAAGGTTGATACTATTATTATTCTCATATGTGAAAACTGAGGCCCAGAGAGGTAAAATGACTTGTCTGGGGCCCCATAGCTAGAAAGTGGCAGGGTGGAGATTTGAATGTGGGTCTGGCCCTCCCAGAGCCTGTGTCTCTTAAGCCTCAGGCTGCACTGGCTCCTGTCTCTTCTCCCACTTGCATTTCATAATAATCCCTTTTGAGTGTGAGTCATGCCACACTGTCATTCCCCCTCTGCTTGGGTGCCATGCTGCAAGTGCGTCCCTGTCACTCAGGTGGGACACACCCTCTCCCTTCCAGTCTCCAGAGGGGGCTGGCTGACGTGGGAGGTGATGGAGCACTTTATCTCTCCTAAGCCTTTCCTAAGGCTTTGCAACTCACTGTGAGTCCACCTGTCAGATTCTTCCAATTGGAAATGGAATGGGTTGGAGGTGAGGTGGGACTAAGGGGGAGTCCACCGAGAGGAGAAAAAGGGATCACGTGTGTGAATCTGGGATCCTGTCCAAAATGGTTTTTTTTGTAGGAGTGAGGGCTGGATGGGGGGCCGGGTTGGGGCAGGAACCTGGGAGGGAGAGGAGAGGGGAGGAGATGTGTCTGCAGGGTTGGTCCAACCTCTGAATGTTCCAAGCTCCCTGCCTGGCCAGGGGAGCCTGCACTCATCCCTTGCCTTCCCATGGATTCCATCATCTTTCTTTCCTTTTGGCCCAGGACTGGGAGCTGCATGTGAAAGGGAAACTACATGCTCAGAAATGCTTGGTCTTCTCTGAAAAGTAAGTGCCATCCGGGAGAACAGGTTCATGCATGCGCTTGACAAATGTTCATTGAGCACCTACCGTGTGCCATCCGTTCTAGGTGCTGGGGAGATGGAACAACACAGGCAACGTCTCTGTCTCCAAAGAGCGCACACTTAATGGGGGGTGTGTGTCAGATGATAACAAAATAAACAGTGAATTATATATCGCATCTCTGGTGGTAAATGCTAAGCAAAAAATGACATCAGGGCAGGAGCAGGAAGGGGTGTGTGTGTGTGTGTGCGCGCGCACGTGCCCATGTGCATACACATTCACTCATTCATTCACGGGCTGGCTCTTGCATTTCAAGTGTGTGGGGGTGGGGCACTTGCTGAGGACACCTCAGGAGAGGATGGAATGAGACTGTGGCTGTCTGGAGGACATGCACTCCCAGCAGAGGCAGAGGGGACAGCAAGTTTGAAGGCCCTGGGATGCTTGGGCAGCATCACTATGACCAGAGCCCTGTGCTGGGGGAGGGGTCGGGAAAGGGCTGAGCAAAGGAGTGACTGCTCTGGTTCCCTTGCTGAGAACAGATGGGGGGGCGCGGGGGGCGGGGGCATGGCAGACCCCTGAGACCATTGAGGAGGGGCTGCGGTGTTTTGAAATGAGCCCATTCAAAAGGTCTCCCTTTCTTATTCACAGTAGCCAAAAGGTGGAAGCGACCCAAATGTCTACACCAGATGAGTAGGTAAACAAAACATGAGACGTATGTACGATGGAATATAATGCAGCATTAAAAGGAAGGAATTTATGCGCTCACTTAGGCAGCACATGCACTAAAAAGGAAGGAATTTCTTACATATACTACAACGTGGGCGAACCTTGAGGACATTATGCTAAGTGAAATAAGCCAGGCACAAAAGGACAAGAACTGTGTGATTCCACATATAGGAACCACCTAAAGCAGCCAGGGTCATAGAGACAGAAAGTAGAACTGCGGTTGCCAGGGGCCGGGGGAGGCGGACATGGGAGATGAGTGTTGTTTACTGCGTAGAGTTTCAGTTTCGCAAGATGAAAAGAATTCTGGAGATGGATGGTGGCGATGGTTGCAAAACGGGGCGGGGGAGTGTGCTTAGCGCCACTGCACTTAAAAATGGTTAAGCTGGTAAATCTCACGTGTGTTTTACCACAATGTAAAAAAGAAAGAGTTTTAAAAGGTCTTTCTTCTCTGGCTCTCTACTTTTTTTTTTTTTTTTTTAATTGTGCTAAAATTCACATAAGGCCCACCATGTGAACCATTTTAAAGTGCACAACTCAGTGGTCACAAGCACGGTCCCAAGGTTGTGCAGATGTTGCCAGTATCTCGTTCCAGAACATTTTCATCGCCCTCAGGTGAGGCCCCATACCCCTGAGCAGTCACTCCCCAGTCCTCCTTCCCCCAGCCCCTGACAACCTCTCATCTGCTTTCTATCTCTATAGATTTTCTTCTGGACATTTCGTGTAAATGGAATCGTATGACGTGTGGCCTTTTGTGACCGGCTTTTTTCACTTAGCACGATATTTTCAGGTTCATTCACATTACAGCATATACCACCTTTTTATGGCTGAATAATATTCATATACGTGTGTATACATATATATATATATGTCACATTTTGTTTATCTATAAATAAATCCTTTGATCTATATTCGGAATGTTTTTATCTTTCGGCTATTGCGAAGAGTGCTGCTGTGAACATTCATGCACACATTTTTGTTTGAACATCTATTTTCAACTATTTGGGGTCTGCGCCTAGGAGTGGACTTTCTGGGTCATATGGTAATCCTTTATTTAACTAATTGAGTAACTGGTTCCCCTTTTTTCACCCCTCTCCAGTGCTGGTGTCCGGTGTATACTCGGTCCAACAGAGGGAGCTCTGTGTGCCTCTCCCAACAGCACGGCTGTTTATAACCCTGCTGGGAACGAAGGTGAGCGTGGGCCTGCAGGTCAGCAGCATGAACCCGACATCATCTTCCCAAAGGCTTATCATGTCACATCTTTAATAACCAAATTTCCCTTATGTGGCCTTCTTATGCATCTATAAATCAAACAGATCCCAGGACGCTAAAATGCATTAGGCCTGCTGTCTGGGGCCTTCAACATTTTCTGACATATTTTAGACATAAAGCTTTGCTGGTCATCAGCGTGCCCAGAGATATAATCGTACCAGTCACCAGACAATATGTTAAGAGGGAATTTTCATTTGTTTCCTCCTACTTATGTCCTAATAGTGACTTTTGAAGGTAAAGTAAATAACTAGGTTTTCATCCAGTTTTGTGTAATTTATCATTTAGATTATGCCTCAAATCTTGGAGCATCCTATGCAGCCATTCCAGCAAGGTCATTTACTCAGTCAAATCCTGCATTTCCTTCAGCTTCCCCGGGGACAAATGTGAGTACAGAAGCATTTTCTCCATTGTCATTGTTATCATCAAGGCAGTGGTATCACTCGCGTGGTGCCTGAGTTTTATTAGGCACAGAAAAGCTGACGAGAAGCTGGTGGAGGAATGGCTTTGTGCAGTGCAGGAAAATGTGCCCCTGGACAGAGGTTGAGACGTGTCATTCAGTCCAGCGAGTATTGAAACACACAGATAAAAAGGCTGACAAATTCTTAAAATTGAAGGCACTCAGAGACTATAGCATACGGCACGGTTTTAGGAAAAAGATAAATTTGTCTGTGTGTGTTTTTAAGATGTCGATAGTTTACTGAAGTGGATCGTTTTTCATGAGTAGTAATTCTGAAACTTGAAGCAGAAAGAGAAAGTGCGTTTGAAAGTAAGGACGGTGTACTGATGGCATTTGTCGGCTCTTTGGGGAAATGGCTACTTCTGTATACTTTGTTTTCAGTCCTCTCTCAGTGACGTGCACGTTAGTCCCCCAAAGCTCTAAAGCTTCATCTCTCCTTTCCCACGGATCATGACAACAGTTTTTCTCTCTTTGGTTTCCCACGGCACGTAGCTTTGTGCCCCTAGGAGTCTCTCTCTCATTCCCTGGGAACACATGAAAAGGGGGCGGGAGACGCGGAACCGACTGTAAAACAAAATGCATTTGATAGAGGGCGTGTGTCTCTGGGCTTTTACCTGTGCCTATATATTTTTTCAATTTGTGGTGTGAACAGCTACGGCTTCTTTCTCTCTTTTCATGCAGCGAGCAAGTACAAGTTCATGACAGCAGCCCTCCACGTGCCATCCCCTCCACGTGTCGGGGCATTTGTGCAAAACTCGGGAAGGGCAGGCTGAGATTTTAGCCCCTGGGGGATGAGTGAGTGGGGAGGCAAGGAGGTCCATGACAAGAAATGAAGCCTGCCTGGGCTGCGTTTCTGTTTGTTCGTATCGGTTTGTTTGTGATGTTTGATGGGAGAAGCGCGTCAAGAGAGAACCCCCAGAAAGAGGATTTTGTGGTTTTCTTCTCTGTACTCTCCATGCTTAGAGCCACACCCACTCAGTGGCAAGTTTAGGTCATTTCCAGGAGAGCAGAGTGGCTGGGTTCGGTGACCCTGTCATTTGTCTTTGATTATATGACCTGTGTCCCGATGGGGGTGCTGGCAGCTCCAGCACCACCCCCACCCCAGGGCCTCTTTCCCCACGCTGTGGACCACGGAGGCATCTCTGTGCTCACAACCTGCTCTGAGATCCTAGCACTGAGGGTACGGGGACTGTGACCTAGATTGGGGAGGCTGGATTGGAAGGCAGGTGAGTCAGGGATCTAGGTGCAGGAAAGAGAGCTGGTGTCAACTGAGTCCCGTTGCAAAGGGAAAGGAGCTGAGAAGCGTTAAGAGAGGCCAGGGCAGGACAGCTTTGTGTGTGACCCCATGCCATCCTCTGGGGCTGGCCAGTGAACCAGAGGCCTTTTCCTGTGGTTGTGGAGCCAAGAGCCCTAAGTTCAAGTCCAAGTTCTGGAGCCAACTAGCTGTATGGCCTCAGGCAAATCACCAAATCGCTTTACTTCTCTGAGGCTCTCTTTCCTTAAACGGAGATAATACTCCCCTAATAAATTGTATGACTTTTGAAGGTACAGATAAAGGAAATGGCCGGGTGCTCACCTGGCTTGTGTAATTGATTGTCTCGATTATGCCTCAAATCTTGGCATATCATATGTGGCCATTCGAGCACAGTCTCCTGATTCGGTGTCAGAGCTGGACAGCAGGAGCAAGGTTCAGGCCAGACCACAGTTGTCCTGCCCTTGGAAGGATTGGATGAGTCCATGTCCGTGATGACGATTTGCAAACCGTGTCGGGTACAAAAGTAACAATGGCTGTTATTCGGCCATGAGTCCTTTTAACTTGCTGTGGGGAAACCTTCCTGTCTAAGGCCCTCTCTGCTCCATCCGCTAGCCCCATGACTTCGGGCAAATGTCAGTGTAAGCATTCCTCAGGCGCGAACCTGTCCAGGAATCCCTGTAGTCGTACCTGCCCTGCCAAGAGATGTCGCAAGGCTCCCATGAAAGCCCTCACCTGTGGGGCAGGCATGAGCAGTCTGACCCGTGATCATTTGTGGGTACAATTTCCTCCAAATGCCTAGCAATGGGGAGGTATCTGGCTTGAGCCTGAGGGGAAGCGACACAAGAAACAGTTTTCTTGCTGTAGTGGAGGCCAACAGGAGGGAGACCCCAGACACTGTAGGGTGATGGTAACAATAGTGGACACTACATAGTGCTAAACCTGGCTTGAGCCTGAGGGGAAGCGACACAAGAAACAGTTTTCTTGCTGTAGTGGAGGCCAGCAGGAGGGCGATAGCCCCAGACACTGTAGGGTGATGATAACAATAGCGGACACTACATAGTGCTTAATGCATTTTTAGCATTTTTGTATGTTTTAACTCATTTAATCCTCCAGGTAACCTTGTGAGGTGGGGAAACCAATGTGTAAAGAAACTAAGCGTCCTGCTTCAGGTCACACAGCTGGTAAATGGAGGCAGGCCCAGGTGGCCTGGCTCTGAATGCCTCACTTTCAACCACTAAGCCCTGCTGCCCGTCTTGGAGGGTCTCTGAGTTGTCATTGTTCTTGCTGTGATTTTCTCTTTAATAAGGTCCCTCCCCTCCCCCACTCCCATGCCACAAGCTGCTCAGCAGGATCCGAGGTACCTTGGGGTGCAGGGCCTCGGCCAGCCATCAGCCATGGAGCAAGGTACAGAGGCCAGTTAGACCTAGACTCGGATTCTTTGTCACTGTGGCAGCATCGCCCAGGATGGGCTCAGACATTTGGAGGGATTTTCTACAGACACAGTGGAGGGGAAGAGGCGTCATCTGACTGCTTTTATTGTTGTAAGTTCTGTGAGGTCTTGGTCAGATGAGCTTTCCCAAGGACATCTGGGGGACAAGGACAAAGCCTGTCCAGCCATGCCTAATTAGTGGCTCAATGGTCACATCTTTCCGTTGGCTTCTGGTCCTCTCGTTTGCCATTTTTGGCAAATGGAATCGAATGCAGGTATGTTTTTCTTTAGGCAAACCTGAAATACAAAAATATTGATATCTGAAGACAAGCTGAGAATTGAAGGGCTGATTAATCCACTACTTAAAAGGAAACTTTACAAGCCTCCTTTATGTAGTAAGGGAGTCCCTGAGAGAAATTTTTAATTTTTTTTCTGCCTACAAATACTGACATCCAAAGAAGAGCTGATACATCAAGGGGTGATGATTCTGCTAGCAAAGGACACTTTGCCCAGTGAGCTGCTTGTGCGTATACATTTCTACTGCTTTTTCTGCTTACAAAATTTTTGCTTTTTGTGAAAATTCAAACTGAGAAGACATATTTAATGGGAGATTGAAATGCCTACATTATCTCCCTCCGGCCCCCATGAGAACCCACGAAAGCTTTGACACACTTTCCTCCAGAAGTGTTTCTGTGCCAGGGCTTTTTCTGTCCGATTTCACTTAGGTACATCTTTTCAGAAACACATTTTTGGAGGACCAGCCAAGACTCCGCCATCGTAGTATCACTGTTGTTGGTGGAGCAGAGAGAGGACCCTGCTTCTAAAGTGCCCTGTTTTTAAGCAAGAGTACACAGGGACAGACACAGCCCTCTGGGGGTGAGCCTTCAGCAGGTCTCAGAACTGCTACACGATCTGAAATGATTGCAAATCCCATATACCACCTCCACCAAGCCTGGGCTTGGCTGCTAAATTTACACTCGTGCCAGCTCTGTGGGAGTGCGAGCCTTTTGTTTCCATGTTTATGGCTGACAGAAATGGGACATTGATCTGACAGTTGTGTGCTGTTTGTCCCCTCCTCCCCTGGGATTCCGGGAGAGCATGTGTTCACGTTCACTGAAGCTTCTGCCGTTTGACAGAGCACAGACACTTTCTCCTTGGCTGACAGAGTCATCATAAACAGAGTAATCAGGTTTCTTGAACAGGCCTGCAGGGCCTCCTCATGCTGTAAATAGTTTTCTTGTGCCTGCCCAAGATGTACTTGGCCTGCCGACTGTCCCCATTAAACCGCCTTGAAGTTTTCACAGCCACTTGGGAGTTTGTTTACTGTTGGCGCCATAGGTGGGCCTCCCTTGCCTGGGACAATACACACTGTTTTTATGGCTTCTTCTCACCAGGACCCTGTGTACCAGGAAACTTGTATAAATAAGGAAACTGAGGCATAGAGAAACTTAAATGTGTATGGAGGGCTACAGGTTTAAGCCATAGGTTGCCCCTTCGATTGCTGGCTGTTTCTAAAACACCTATTCATCCACTCTGGCCTTCCAGGTCCATGGTTCAGAGCACAGAGTAGTAACGGACATGGTGAATGATACCCACCCCTCCCGTACCAGTCCAGCTCTGTCCTCATTCCTGTCCCCTCCATGAGGGGCCACCTTATGCATTTTTAAAGAGAGCAAAGAGCCAGGAACAGAAGACCTGGGAGGGTTTTGTTTACTGTTGGTTTTTTTCCTTTTCTTTGTAAAAATTGTTTATTTTTCTTGTTGCAAAAGTAGTACACACTGTGTAAAAAATTCAAACAGTAACAGAAATGCAAAAAAATAGAGAATCCAACCCTGCAGAGAAAACCGAAGGTAGATATCTTTTGCTCTGTGTACCCCTAACTAGTGTACATGAGCATGTTTAATTATTAAAAGTATATATTTTTGCAAAAATCAGAGAACACCATACAATCTGTTGTACAACTTGGGTTTTTTTCACTTAACATAAGCTCACAATACATACTGTAATTGATTTCTAGACATCTTCATGCATCTGACATCTACCAGATGTATTTAGCACAATTTATCAAGTCTGCAGTTATTTGATGTTTCAGTGAGACCTGAGTTGTAATCACAAATCTACCACTACTTCGTTGCCCACAGATTAGTTCCTTTTCTTTCAGGTGTCAGTGATGCACCAGATGACCTCCCAAGATTCCATGACTCTAAAGTTTGTAGGCATATTAAAATTGCTCAGCAGGGGG